ATTTAAAATAATTGTGGAATAATATTTTATTTGAAATATTTATAGAATAATATTTTATTTGAATAATATTGTACGAATACAATTTTATTTGAAATATTATTATTTCCATTATTACTATTATTAGCATTAATATGAAATAATAGCATTATTACGAATGATATTGAATGAATATTGATATTGAATAAAATTTTACTCGAAGAATTTATGCGTAATATTCATTACCTGTAATCTCGACGATTTTTAAATAAAAACTATGCACGTATGTTCAGAGTTGATAAAAATAGATTTTCAGAAAATTTACGCGACTAATTGAATATTGCCGTTTTACAGTTCATGTCTTCTCTTTTACAAACAACAGTAGAAACATACGCGCCTCATCGCGTTCTCAATGATACACCGAATGAGCTCGAAATAAAATATGTAAATTAAAGCCGAAATAAGTATGTAAATTAAAGCCGATATAAATATGTAAATTAAAGACAAAATAAATACGTAAATTAAGATCGAAATAAATATGTAAATTAAGATCTCAATAAACATGTAAATTAAAGTCGAAATAAAAACAGAAAAAATAAATCGAAATATCGACACGCGAAAGTAAATTAACGACGAATAAAATAATTATCGTCGCGTATGCGAATGCGTCTTGCGGTTACAAAATTAGCAAGATAATGAAGAGGGATGAACGAAGGAAAACGTTTAGCGAAAGTTTCTATCGTCTTGGAGAACAGTGTCGAATTTATAATTCGGCGCGCACGAAATTCCACGCCGAGTATTCAACAGGAGTAATTGAATTCTTCACGTGTTGCCCTATCAGTTTATTTTCGCGTGATCACATGCACGTGGAATTCAACGACTAGTCCATGGTAATCCTATATGAATCACGTTGAAGGTGATCTAATATTAGATGCAACGGAAGAGAATCGCGCGTACGTTCCTTCTGCAGAGATATAAGAAGACATTCCACCGTCGATTGTGCTGAGAAAAAAGAATTCGCTGTTTCTTTCGTTCTCGAAACCCGGTCGCAATTATATAATCCACGGATAAATATTTCTCCGCTGAAAAATTCTGTCAAACGATAAATTCGCGCGCGCGCGCGAGGCAATAATGAATTATGAAGTAATAAATTAGAAAACTGCCAGAATTAATTTCGTTTTGCAGTGATTTTGTAATCAGCCTTCAATAATATCGTGCAAATTCTTGTAGTTGTAATTATCTTACAACGAAAAATATCAACTTCTTGTATAATAAAACTTGAACTTTGAAAGATGATAATTATCTAGACAATAGCAAGGACTACAACTTGTCTCAGATCATTATAATGAAAATATAATGCGTACGATCATTATTAAGTAATTAAATGATCTCTTAGAGGTCATCAATTTAAGATCCGTAATATAATATAATAAATAAATAAATAAATAATATAATAATATACAATAATAATAAATATAATAATAATATATAATATATAATAATATATAATAAATAAATAATATAATTCCGTAATATGGTTGTTTAAAGAAAAATAGGATTGTGTTAATTTCATTTGTCTCAGAGCAAAAAAAAATGCTCTATATAATTAATCTCAAACAGAAGATATTGCGAAGATAATACAATAAATGCTGTGTTAGATACGTTGTTAACATAGTAATATTCGCATAAATATCGAAGCATCGTATTTAACTTCCGAGCTGAACCAAAGAGAGCGTTTCGAGCATGCTCTAGCCAGTAAAGAGTCGCCGCCTAGGGAACAGTAACTGAACACACACGCGAGTGGAACCGATTGCATACTCTAAGGGGACCCCGAATGGCGCGACTTTCAAAACCACGTCTTACAGAGTATCACAAAGTATCACAGAAAACTTCGATTTTTCTACATGACTATCTTTCTCTTTATTCACTATCTTAGTTACTTATCATTTATTTTTATAGCTTTTCCGAAGATTGCTATATTTTTTTCTTGACTCTAAAATGTTAAGATTTGTCACATTATTCTTTCAAAACTCAATATTAAGAACAGTTGTTTCGCACATTATTTCTACACACGAAATACTATTAATTAACGTAGATTTCGTTAATGAATCATTTGTTCAGGTTAAGTTATTGCACAATATCTAGTTGTAGAAACTAAAATACTTCGCAGGCATTGTATAACATTATTTTAATATATTACTATTACTTATATTATTAACATATTATTAATATTATAATATGATATATATATATATATATATATATATATATATATATTATTATATATATATTAATAATATATTAATAATATAATATACATATATATATATATTTATTATTATTATTATTATATTATAATATATTATAAATATTATTAATATATTACTAACTATTT